ATAAATTTAATAATTTTATAAATTAATGTTTAATTATTGCATGTTTACAGTGGCTCAAGTGGTTAAGACGCTGAACTGCAGGCTGTGAAAGGTCAGTAGTTCAGCAGTTCAAGACCCGGGTGCTGCATGACGGAGTGAGCTCCCGTCTCTAGTTCCAGCTCCTGCCAACCTAGCAGTTCGAAAGCAAGAAATTGCAAGTAGATAGATAGGTACCACTTCGGTGGGAAGGTAACAGCGTTCCGTGCGCCTTGGTGTTTAGTCATGCCGGCCACATGACCATAGAAATGTCTTTGGACAGCGCTGGCTCTTCGGCTTGGAAACGGAGATGAGCACCGCAACCCCAGAGTCGGATTCGACTGGTTTTCGAGCAAGGGAACCTTTACCTATGTCTTTTAATTATTGCATGTTTACTTAATGTTGTACACCGTCCTGAGCCCTTCGGGGGAGGGGGGTTTATAAATAAATCAAATAAATAAATAACAGAATGCACCCCATCACTTGATAAAGCCGTCTGCCTTGATGGAACGCTCTCCTCATGTTAAAGGGCTTCTAGTGACCATGGAGAAGCCAAGAAAACTTGCACAGTTCTGGGAAAGGTGCCTGATTTAGCAACGGTCTCAAAGGCTTCTGTCTCCACGCAGAAGCAGATTAAATTGGACTTTAGACAGGATAGAAGATCATTTAAAGGAAAAGCTCACCTTGTCCACGGGGTGTTTCATGAAGCTCGCGGCTAAGTCTAGGCAGATCACGGTGTTGCTGGTGGCTGTCATCTGGACCAGCAAGGTGGCGCATTTCACTTGAGAGAGCCGCAGGTATTCCTCGGCTTTCCTGCCAACGCACAAGGAGGAGAGGTTATCAGTCAACAACAGTTGCTTCCCCGGACAGATTAGAGGATTAAAATCACAATCTGCCTGCCTGCACATTATGTGCGTTAGGTACCAGTGTCGTAATCGGAGAAAACACAGAGCAAAACCCACAAAGCTTTTATGAAGATTCCTCGGCTGGATGATGATGAGTAACTCTTACCCAGAAGAATGCGCATGTCCCAGACATGGGTCTGACATTTTATCCCCACAACAGAAGAGATCATGCTATAAACCTGCATTTATCTAAAATGTCTATAATTTTTACCCTGGCAGGAATTTGAGAAACAGAAAACTCCCACAAAGGGTTACACTGGTCACTGACCATAATAAAAAATATCTATCAATCTATCAATCAATCAATCACAAAGGGAGTTCTGTAGCCAGAGCCTTTGAGCATTTTTTTTTTTTTTGGCTGTCAAGCAGTGCTCCCGCTAAACTATGGAGTCTTGTGAGCAAAAATTCTACTTTGCGAGCTCCTCCTGGCATTAAAGTTGTGAGCCAGCGATTTGGCGACTGCATCACTCAGTTTGCTCTGGAGCCCTCCTTCCTGAGCGAAGACAAAAATGTGTGAGCCGGAGGCTCAAAAACTGTGAGCTGGCTCACACTCACTCAGCTTAGAGGGAACACTGGTGCAAAGTACACAAACGGAGCCCAACCAAGCGACAGAAGGGAGGAGCGCGTCCTTCCTGGGAGCGCCTCTCTCTGCCCCTGCTTTCCCACCCCCTCTTATGGGAGGCAGACAGACAGTCTCCAAGGGCGGGCCCAGAGCGTGGCCTCCCTGGCCTGGCCGCCTCCATTTGGCCCCCGGGTGCTCTGTAGCCAGAGAGAGGCCCGCCCCCCTCGCAGGAAAAGCCTCCTTTTCCTCCCCCTCCTCCTCTGGAGGGCGCAAAAGGAGCCCCAGGGGGAGGTGAGGGGGGACAGAAAAGGGGGCTCCCGGGAGACCGTGGGGCAGAAAGGCCAAGTACAAACAAAACTACAAATGGGGATAAGGTAGTCACTGATAACCATGTTCCAAACAGACCTGGCATATGCAGCTAAGAGAATGCACTTCGAATGATCTACCAATACATTTTCATCCCACCCTCCCTCCCTCCAGAGACCTGAGAGTAGTTCTAGCCTCACAACAAGGCAGGAATGAGCAGTCCAAGGTCATTCAGCCACATATATGGCCCACCGGGATTGCAGCATGGCCAATGCTCCGTCTAAACTCCGGAGTCCCGTGAGCAAAAATTCTACTTTGTGAGCCACTGGCATTCAAGTTGTGAGCGAGCAATTTGGCCACTGCATAAATCAGTTTGCTCTGGAGCCATCCTTCCTGAGCTAAGGACAAAAATGTGTGAGGTGGAGGCTAAAAAACTGTGAGCTAGCTCACACCAACTCAGCTTAGAAGGAACACTGAGCATGACCCCAATATTACTACAATTACTCTGGCCACTGATCTGTTCCCAAGCCCAATTCAAGGTGTGCAATTTTAGCACACATGCCGCATCAATGGAATGTTAATTCATTAAAGCCCTTGGTGGCTTAGGACTGGGATACACACAGGGACATCTTGTCCCACACAGTCCTGTCTGGGAATGAAGATCACAGGGAGGGAGGGCCTTTTCAGTGGGAGCCCCACCATAACGGAACAAGCTGCCCAGGGAGCGGCCCCCTGCCCCCTTCCTTTGGATCTGCAGGGAGCAGCTGAAGACAGTTTTATTTAGGGCTGCATTTGGTTAGGTGTAGCAGCAGTCCTGAGAAGAAAGTTTAAAATCTGGTTTTCTGTTTTTCACATATTCTATTGCTTGCAAACGGCCTCAAGTTCCATGAGGAAGAAAGGCACCTAATAAATGCTTTAAATAAATCAATGTGGATCTCCCAGACCTGGGTCTGACATTTTATCCTCACAACAGCCCTGCGACATAGGTGAGGCCAAAACAGCATCCAGGCCACGGTTACTCTAAACCAGGGGTGGCCAAACTTGCTTAATGTAAGAGCCACATAGAATAAACGTCATATGTTTGAGAGCCACAAGACATGAAGGGATGTACTAGGCCCAGAAAGCCTAATGGAAAATCCACTCCGCATTTTTATTGCAACTCTACTTGTACCCTAATGTTTTCCAATGGAGCCCATGCAAGTCAATTGGCATTCCAATGGGTTTTCCAGCGTCTCCCATTGTTTCCAATGGGCAATCCCGTCCTTCCTTTTAGTACATCCCGACATGAGCAAATATTACACACACATTTGCTTTTTATTAACAAATAAAAATAAAAGGCAAATTTGCTTTTTATTAACAGTAGACTGTGTGAAAGAGCCACCATGTGGCTCCGAAGCTGCAGTTTGGCCACCCCTGCTCTAAACCTATAGCCATGATAAATGCTCCCTCTAAGCTGTGGAGTCTTGTGAGCAAAACATTCTTCTTTGTGAGCTACTTGGATGAAGGTTATGAGCGAGCGATTTGGCTACTGCATAAACTAGTTTGCCCTGGAGCCATCCTTCCCGAGCGAAGACAAAAATGCGTGAGCTGGAGGCTAAAAAACTGTGACCTAGCTCACACTAACTCAGCTCAGAGGGAACCCTGGCCGTGATTCCGCTCCGGAAATCGCAGGCGTGGGCCGCGACGACGGCCACCAGGTCTTTTACATCTCCATAAAACGAATCCCTTGCAGAGAGGCGGCTCAAGGGTTACGAGGCCGTGATGGCTTGACGGAACCTCCATGTGCAGGAACAGTCTACCTCCGAGAAAACAATTGTTGGGGAGTCTCCGAGTGGCAAGCAGGGAAAACGTCTGCTTCCCTGCCCTGCTGATGGGATTTCCTCCTCGGGCAGCCACATGTCAGCGGACTTCTGCTTTGAGCCCGCAAACTTATTATGTAACTCCATTTTTTTTTTTAAATGCCGCCTCGCTCCCTACCTGATAACTCCGGGCGTGGCGACGCCCATCCTGGCGGCCAGGCGCTGGATCATCGCGCGCTCCATGGAGGCCTCCTCCTCCTCCGGACCGCTTCAAAGCCGGAGCCGCGACGGCAAACTGAGCCGGTTCCCGCGCGCGGGGGCCGCATAGGACGTCGCGAACGCTCACTGGTTACAACCCGGCCGCAAGCCACGCCCTCTTCGAACGCCGGCCCCTCTGGCCGCGCCCCCTTTCCGAACGCTCAGACACTCCCCCCCCGCACCTTCCCCGTTCTAGAACGCGACGCCCATTCATGGGCCAGGAGGTGGCGAGGAAAAGGAGGGGCTGCCTGCGTAAGCAGAGGGGGGAGGGGAGGAGGAGGAGGAGGAAGCAGAAGTCGAAGCGAGGCTTTGCTTCCCCTCCCATTGGCCTGATGGAGTGTCTGTCTCTGCCCCCACGGGTCCAATCGAGGCTCATGACGGCAGCGGGCCAATGAGCAAGGAGTGGGGGGAAAGGAGGAGGCGGGCGTTCGAGGAGGGGGTGTCACATGATAGTGGGGGGAGGGCTGAGAAGGAGTCCGTCAAAGGAAGAGGCAGTGGGGATTGCTGCAGGTATTGCAGGGCGCGACGGGCCATCATGGTGAGTGAAGGCGGGGAGGCGGAGGCGTGGGGGGTGTCCTTTTTTTTGGGGGGGGGAGAGGATCTTATTCTCTAAGGAGGGACTGGGGTTTATGGGAGCTTCTGGAGGAGCCCTGCTTAAGGGGGGGGGGGGAGGCTTGGGGCCTTGCTGTCGCTTGTGGAGGATTTGTATCCTGCCTTTCTAGTGTCACAACAGCCCTGTGAGGCAGGCTGGGTTGAGAGAGTGTGGTGAGCTTTTGTAGTTACCAGCGGGGATTCGAACTCAGATCTCCCTGATAACTAGTCTAGCACTCTTAACCGCTGGCTGTCTTTTGCATGGTGGTGTAGAGGGTAAGGTTCCAGAAACTGTAGCTGAGTACTATAATTCTTTTATTGGGACTGAACAATATGTCCCAATACAATGCAGGCTTTTGAGACACTCAGAATATTGGACTGGGGGGACAAAGTGTTCTGGGATAACTTGAAAGCGTGTGTGTGGCATTTTAGAATATTTTGGTTGGCTTTAGTTAGAAGAGGTTACGTTGCTAGGATGTTTTGAATTTTTCCAGGGACCTATCCTGTTCTGTACATTTGTTGTTGAAAGGCTACTATCCTTGGGCTAATGTGTAATGGCAGTGGTGGGATTTGTTCATGAGTAGATTCAGATTCAGACACCTTTAATGACATACTGGTATATAAGAAATACATTTGAGAATGTCTCACTGTCAAATCACATTCCTATGCATTATGGTTACAGGGCATTAAATCTTATTGTCTGTAGGGGCTTACTTCAGAGTAAACAGGTATAGGTCACTAAGTCCAGCAGAAATTACCGTAGGTTGACTCCTGTAAGATTTCTTTTTAATCTGCTTCTGTCACAAATATTGGCTTGCAGTTGTTACTGAAGGAGCCCTCCATTCAAAAGACGGAAGAAAGGATCTGAATTAAACAGTCATCTCCCAGAGTTCAGGAAACTCTTTCATATGGGCATCAGTACATCCCCAATACCTTGTGGTGTATTTTTGAGATAAATATTAATTTGGTATAAGCTATTTGGGAAGCCATTATTGGCTGCAAACTATAATAGATCAGTAACGGAATATTTACGTATGTAAATATTTTATTTACACCCTGCCTTTCTTCCTGGTGGGCAGACCAAGCATCTTTACAGTTCTCCTCCATTTTATCCTACAACAGCCCTGTGAGGCAGGCTAGGCTGAGAGGACGTGATGGGTCCGAGGTTACCCGACAAGCTTCCATGGTGGAATGGAACACTCGTATGTGGGTCTTCCAGACCCTAGTTTGGCACTTTGATCATTACACTGGTTCTGTCCCATTAACACAAAACTGAGTGTCTTCTATATTTCGTGGATGTAAAGCCAGTTCCTGATACTGGACCGCCCTTCTGGTGTGACTAGGAAGTGGAGTTTGGAGTCCATCTTGGGGAGACCCTTAATTCCCTGGAGTCCGTAGGAAAGGGGAGGATCAGGGTTCACTTCTGCTTGAATGGTGGTCCAGGGTACATGCGTGAGTCTTTGCCTGTGTGACTGGCTATTTATTCCTATGTATGTTGCCTGTGAGGGCATTGCTGTGAAGAGGGGGATACCGATCCTGTACCCTGAACGGTCCCTTGCTGATCAGGATCCCATAGAGGCGGCTGTACACGCTCTCTTGGCATACACTCAAAGCATTGGAATGACCAGCGTTTTGCCAATAGGTAATATTGAGGATAGAGGCCATGGATATTTTGGCTGGGACTGCCCAGAATTATATTTTCTGAAATCCTAAGAACTTGCCATGCTGGGTCAGGGGTGGGGTGCTCACTGAAATGGATGTGGTCAGCACCCCCTCCCCCCAAATTGCTTGTCCCCGGTATGTGAACAGTCGCTCTCAGTGTGACTGTTACATTCTGGAATTCCATGCCTGGGAGACACATGCAGGTTAGAAGAAGAGATTGGATTTATACCCTGCCCTTCACTACCTGAAGGAGTCTCAGAGAGGTTTACAAACTCATTTCCCTTCCCCTCCCCGCAACAGACATCCTGTGGGGTAGGTGTGGCTGACAGAGCTCTTTCGAGAAGAGTTCTGAAAGAACTTGTAACTGACCTAGGGTCACATCAGCAGCTGCATGTGGAGGAGTGAGGAATCAAACCTGGTTCTCCCAGTTTAGAGTCCGCGCTCCTAACCACTACACCAAACTGGATCGCTTAGCCAGTTTGATGTCCGGTTTTAAGGTACAGTTTTCCATGCCTGCTCAGAAATGGTGCACTCTGAACGTGTGACTGTTGTGCTAAACCTGGGTCTGGCGTAGCTATAGTGCAGAAGTATGTATGGCGCAAGTCTTTGCAGTCTCTTCTTGCAAGGAAGCCTAAGGAGTATTTGCCTATGTGTAAAATTACACTGTTAATGTTCTGCATCTCTTTCCTGTAAACTGTTTGTTTCCAGGAATAAACCACCACAAGAGTCAAATTTGTGGGATATAGAACTTGAAAACAGCTTCGGTTGTAATTCTGGCATATGGTTATGTTGTTGCCGCACATGCCACCGCTGCACAGTTTTCACTGCTTCTAACTTACAGGCTGCTTCTGTGAGCACCAGTTGGCTCTTGGCAGCTTTCCCACCTGGTCCTACTTGCTTTACTTTGGCCTCCAGCTTCTGACCCATGTGGCTTTTATTGAGTCTCGCAGTCCTGCGGCATTGCCCTTTTGGTGGTCAGAAACAGCTAGTAGTAGAATTCAATGTTCTTCAGCTTTTACTCTTGAGGAGAGGGGATTGCTGCCAGTTATTTTAATGGTGGGGGGTGATAATTGGTGTGAGGCGTGGCAAAGCACTCTGTTGCCATTGGGGAAGGCTGTGACTCAGTTGCAGAGTATCTGCTTGGCGTACAGAAGGTCCCGGATTCAAGCTCTAGGTAAATGAGTCCGGGAGTAGGGGAGGTGAAAGATCTCTTCCTGAAACCCTGAAGAGCAGCTGCCAGTCAGGGTAGACAGTACTGAACTTGATAGACCAAGGTCTGACTCAGTAGAAGGCAGCTCCGGGTGTTCATATTTTAACCGTTCCTACATCACACCTCAAAAGGGAGAAGGAACGCAGGCCTTGGCTTATGCTGGCCGAACCGGAGGTATGTTTGAAGAAAGCTTAAAAATCCTTCCCAGATATCATTTGACAGCCTCTGGAGTAGATGGGTGCCGCTGTTGGTTCATGCTTGTGTAACTTTGGCTCTGCTGTTGGATTCCTCTCTTGGGGAGGGTAGAGTGTGAGGTTCTGTGCGCGAGGTCAAGTCTTCCTTATTTTCCCTTCTTTCTGCAGCCGACCACACAGCAGTCCCCGCAAGATGAGCAGGAGAAGCTTCTGGACGAAGCCATTCAGGCCGTCAAAGTCCAGTCTTTCCAAATGAAACGATGCTTGGTAAGAACTCTGGGCCTGTGCTTTTGTCCTCCTGTGTTGGCAAAGAGGAGTGGAGTTTTGTTCTGGAACTTTTCCGGCCCATTGGGATGCACCCTGCCAGTTTGCCCGGGTCTGGTTTGAACCTGGTCCTAGTTCTGCTCCTGGCACTTTAAGAGGTAGGAGCCAGGAAGGCTTTCTGTCTGTCATGCTGGCTTTATTTTGTGACGGTTCTAACCCACCTTTCCTGATCAAGTCCAAGATGGCTTTTCTACATGGGTACTAGGGGGTTGCACGGTACAAAATGGTTCACAAAGTGGCTTGGGTAATAAATCAGGGGCTGCCTGTTGTTGTAAGTAGCTTTCAGCTATGTTAGTTTGAGCATCATTAGCATGTTAATGCTTTGTTTTGGTTCCGATGTCAGATTTTTGGTTGGTTCCAGATTTCTGCAACCCAGATCCTATTGCACTGTTTATCGGATGTCCCATCCAATGGTCCCTCTAAGCTGTGGGGTCTTGTGAGCAAAAATTCTACTTTGTGATCTACTGGCATTAAAGTTGTGAGCAAGCGATTTGGCTCCTGCATCAATTAGTTTGCTCTGTAGCCGACCTTCCTGAGCTAAGGCAAAAATGTGTGAGCCAGAGGCTAAAAAAACTGTGAGCTAGCTCACACTAACTTAGCTTAGAGGGAACACTGGTCCCATCCTGTTAATTGTTTTGGCTCACTCTGCATTATTCGCCTGGAGTCCCAGTGAAAAAGGGGGACTATAAGTAATGTAAATAAAACAATAGTCCACTAAGAATACTGGAATACAGAAAAATATAAAACAGTGTGCCAAGCTTCAGTTGTTGCTCTGCCTTACGACAGAACAACAGATTTTGAGTCCAGTGGCGCCCTTAAGGCCAACAAAGGTACGAGCTTCTGTGTGCACGTGCACTTTTCCAAATCTATTGGAATGGAAGGTAACGATTCAAACTTATAGACAGGCTGAGCAGTAAATTAGCCTGTAACATGATGAAGGTGTTTTAAGGTACGCAAAGACAAAACTTTAAGCTATAACCTTAGCTTGTTATTTAGTTTTGTCTTTGCATATTTTAAAACATCTTCATCACTTTCCATGCTAATTTGCTGTTCAGCCTGTCTATAAGTTTGAACCGTTACCGTCCGTTCCGGTGTATGTGAAAAAGTGGTCAAGCACACGGAAGCTCATACCGTGAATAACCGTTTGTTGGTCTTAAAGGTGCCGCCGGCCTCCAAATGTGTTCTACTGCTTCAGACCAACATGGCTGCCTACCTGGATCATATGACAGAAAAGTTTTCTTAGCCCTCCTAAAACCGAACAATGTAGAACTCTTTAGGGCTGCGTACATCCTTGTCTACGTAGAGCGTTTGGCTGTTGGGAATACTTAAATGTTGAAGTACTTCGGGGTTGACTGCTAGTGTTTGACCAGATTACCAACCTCGTTTTTATGTCTTGTGTTAAACCGTGTGCATTTTACTGCTGTAAGCTGCCCCTCGATGCCTCTTTGAAACGGTGCCTTGGGTGCTTTATTAAATCAAACGGCGTGGCCTGCAAGAAGGGTTGACGAAGAGGCCATTTGGAAAAAGTGAAACAGAACCTCCAAGAGACACTCTACAGGGTCTGCTCGAAAGCTGCCAACAGAATTTGAAAGCTGCTCGAAAGCTGCCAACAGAATTCTGTGTCTGCCGGGCGGTGGTTGTGGGAAAGGAAACAATAGGTGATCTTTATTCTTTTATGTCATTTTGTAGGATAAAAGCAAGTTAATGGATGCTCTGAAACATGCCTCGAACATGCTGGGTGAGTTACGGACCTCCTTGCTGTCTCCAAAGAGCTACTACGAACTCTGTATCCTCTGGAAGCTGGTGGGTGCATGGGGGGGAGGCATTGGGGGGGATGCGCGGGGGAGTGACATTTAGTTTTACTTATTTTAAAATATCTTTTGGCCACCTTTCCACCTGATCAGAGTCCACAAGGCGGCAGACATAAAAGCCTCAAGACATTTCAACCATTAAAAACACAGTTAAGGTAATTCAGTTAAAAGCACATTAAATAATAAATAAGTCATTAGACAAGAATAGATAATTAAGAAACAATTACATGATTATAACTAAAAAATTAAAAGAACATTAAACAAATACTTCAATGAAAATCACATAAGCCAACTCTAGGAGGAGAGCCAGCTACGGTTAAATTGGGGGGGTGCCAATTTAAACAAGTCCTCCCCTGTTGGTGAAGGACCCAGAGGGAGACAGATTGGCGTAACGGTTAGGAGCGCGGACTCTAATCTGGGAGAGCCGGGTTTGATTTCCCACTCCTCCACATGTAGCGGCTGGCAGTGTTCCCTCTAAGCTGAGTTAGTGTGAGCTAGCTGACAGTTTTTTTCCCTCTAGCTCACACATTTTCGTCTTAGCCCAGGAAGGATGGCTCCAGAGCAAACTAATATGTGCAGCAGTCAAATCGCTCACTCACAACTTTAATGCCCATAACTCACAAAGTAGAATTTTTGCTCACAAGACTCCACAGCTTAGAGGGAACATTGGCGGCTGGTGTGACCTTGGGTCAGTCACAAGTTCTCTCAGGGCTGTTCTCTCACTAGCAGTTCTCTCAGAGCTCTCTCAGCCCCATCTACCTCACAGGGTATCTGTTGTGGGGAGGGGAAAGGAGATTGTAAGCCACTCTGACTCCAAGTGAAGGGTAGGGTATCAATCCAATCTCATCTTCTCCTCCTTAGGGAGGGAGTTCCAAAGTTTCGCTGCCACCACTGAGCAGGTCCTTTCTAGCTTCAGATGGTGGGGGCAACCGAAGCAGGGCCTCTGTAGAAGATTTCAGGGTACAGGTAGATATGGGAGTAGGGGATCCTTAAGGTGTGTTGGTCCCAGGCCGCACAGGGCTTTAAAGGGCTTTGACGTTATTACCGTGGCTGCGTCTAAAAAAACCGCATCGCTGACCCGTGATCAAGTAAAAACGTGAATGATCCTGGCTTTTTGCTGAGCGCAATTGTGCTCCTCCCCCTAGTCTTTCTCACAAGGAGAATTGCGAATTCTCTGGGTGAGAAGGGAGCGCCGAGGGGCACGCCTGAGTCCAGCCACAAGCCGGAGTCATGCATGGGTTCACATAGCTGCAGTTCATAGAGAGGTCTGGATGCTGCCTAGGAAGACCCAGTAAGCTGTCCCTAGTGTTACCTTGGGGCTCTTTAGCTTGGAGAAACGACGGCTCAGGGGTGACATGATTGACGTTTATAAGATTATGCATGGGATAGAGCAGGTAGAGAAAGAGGTACTTTCCCCCCTTTCTCACAATACAAGAACTCGTGGGCACTCCATGAAATTGCGGAGCAGTCGGGTTAGAACAGATAAAAGGAAGTACTTCTTCACCCAAAGAGTGATTCACACATGGAATTCACTGCCACAGGAGGTAATGGCAGCTACAAGCATGGACGGCTTCAAGAGGGAATTAGATAACCACTGATGGACCTCTGCTCCATATGTTTATCTGCCACGGGGTATAGATAGGAACTCTCAGTCTGGGGCAAGTGATGCACTGTATTCTTGTTGCTTGTGGGGGGGGCAACAGTGGGAGGGCTTCTAGTGTCCTGGCCCCACTGCTGGACCTCCTGATGGCACCTGGTATTTTTGGCCACTGTGTGACAAGAGTGTTGGACTGGATGGGCCATTGGCTTGATCCAACCTTGGCTTCTCTTATGTTCTTTTGGGATGCGGGGTGTGGAATCCATTCTGCAGAATGGCAGGTGGAAGGGGAACTTTGGAGGGAGTTGTTTCTGTACAGTTTCCATACAGTTCCGCAGGGCCTGCAAGATGGAGCTCTTCCTGGCCAGTTTGGTGTTGTGGTTAAGTGTGCGGACTCTAATCTGGGAGAACCGGGTTTGAGTCCCCACTCCTCCACTTGCACCTGCTGATGTGACCTTGGGTCAGTCACAAGCTCTGGCACAGCTGTCCTTGAAAAAGAGTAGTTTGTGTCAGAGTTCTCTGAGCCCCACCCACCTCACAGGGTGTCTGTTGTGGGGAGGGGAAGGGAAAGGAGTTTGTAAGCCGCTCTGAGACTCCAAGTGAAGGGCGGGGTATAAATCCAATCTCTTCTTCTTCTTCCACCGTGCCTTCAGTCAAGGAGCTGCATCAAACGCCTGAAAAGTGAGCCCTGTGTCCTGGCCTCACCACCTACAGCCGGTGCCCGCCGCATAAATAAACTGGCCAAGATGAGCTGGCTTGAAAATACCGTCACAACTGTTATTGCCGCCTTAAGTAATACTATTACTATGAGATCTACCGTTCTAGCACTTCATTAGAGCTGCTGGTCTAGCACTTTACGATAATTTGATAATTGGACTGTTTGTGATTGTTTTAGGACCTGTTTAATAATATTTCTGTCTTGAATTTTTATGTGAGCCGCCCTGAGCCTGCTTTGGCAGGGAGGGCGGGGTATAAATCGAATAAATAAATAAAATACGTCGAGAAAGGGAAACCCGCTGGGCCTGCTGCCAAGGTGGATCCTGCAAGCCCACATTTTATCTTCCACAGCTCTCGAGTTTCAAAACAGCACCATGGCTTCGTCATTGTTAGCACTGATGACGAGGGTTTGAGATGATTCCCACAGAGTACCTTTAGCAGCGATGCCGCCAGTGAGTGACTCAATACGCCTGTGTTCAGACTGGTCCAAAAATGTTGAAGGCCTAGCGCCCCCTCCCCCCTTGTACTCATCAGGCAACAAATCATGGCATTCGATCAGAAGATCCTTCCATTCCAACCCCTTGGTCTGTAAGTTCTTATGTTTTGCTTGCAAACCTTGTAGTGTGGTAAACCTTTGCTCGAAAGCCAGTCGAATCCGACTCTAGGGCACGGTGCTCATCTCCGTTTCAAAGCCGAAGAGCCAGCACTGTCCGAATACATTTCTGTGGTCATGTGGCTGGCATGACTACTAGACACTCTTCAACTAATAAGGCAGTTTCTTTAAAAGCATTATGACTGTGTGGTTGGGTCCAAAGTTTGGTTTCCCCTAACAGAAGGCACATTTATCAGCAGAACAGAACTTTTCTCCCTTTCTCATTCTGATCTGAGCTGGCCCAAATGCAGCCCTCACGGGACAGCGGACTTCATGGGTCAGTTGATGCCGTGGGAGTTGATGGCAGCTACAACCATAGAAAGCTTCAAGAGGGGATTGGATAAGCATATGGAGCAGAGGTCCATCAGGGGCTATTAGCCACAAGGTATAGATGGAACACTCTGTCTGGGGCAGTGATGCTCTGACTTCTTGGTGCTTGGGGGGCAACAGTGGGAGGGAGTCTGGTGTTCTGGCCCTGCTGGTGGACCTCCTGATGGCTTCTGGTTTTTGGCCACTGTGTGACACAATGTTGGACTGGATGGGCCATGGGCCTGATCCAACATGGCTTCTCTTATGTCCTTATGAAAGCTGAAGGCAGGTGGGTGCAACACAAACTATTTTTCTTCTCTCCCCTCATTCGTTTAACCCTTACCTCTCAGCAGGGGGATGATGGTACAGATTTTAGCAGTGGGGAGGATTGGTTTGGGGCAAGAAGCAACTGCTGTGTTGCCATTGGAAAAGGCCATGACTTAGTGGTAGAGCTGCGGTGGCTCAAGTGGTTAAGACGCTGAACTGCAGGCTGTGGAAGGTCGGTAGTTCAGCAGTTCAAGACCCGGATGCCGCATGACGGAGTGAGCTCCCGTCTCTAGTTCCAGCTCCTGCCAACCTAGCAGTTCGAAAGCAAGAAATTGCAAGTAGATAAATAGGTACCACTTCAGTGGGAAGGTCACAGCGTTCCGTGCGCCTTGGTGTTTAGTCATGCCGGCCACATGACCACGGAAACGTCTTCGGACAGCGCTGGCTCTTCGGCTTTGAAACGGAGTTGAGCACTGCAACCCTAGAGTCGGATTTGACTGGCTTTCGAGCAAGGGAACCTTTACCTTTACTTTTTATCCACTTGGCCTACAGGAGGTCCCAGGTTCAATCCCCTGGTAAATGAGTCTGGGAGTAGAGGACGTGAAAGGCCTCTATCTGAAACCCCGAAGAGCTGCTCACCAGCTGGGGTAGACAATACTGGACTTCGGGCCCAATGACAGTCTGTCCCGTTACCCCTATGCCTGTAGACTCAAGCTTCTCCCAGCGTTCTCTGAAATATGAGGTCTTTTGCCTATGTGTTCGCGTCACCTGTTTTGGATTCTCTGGTCTTCTGGGAACTTTCTAATCCCTCCTGGCATGGCTGGGCGATGATCATGCCCCTGGGGGTTTCTCTAGGCACGTGTTAACCCTTAACTGGAAGGAACAGACATGGCTATCTCCGACGAGCTCCACTACATGGAGGTGTATCTGACGGAAGAGTTCGCCAAGGGGCGGAAAGTGGCGGACCTCTATGAGCTGGTGCAGTACGCTGGGAACATCATCCCGCGCCTGTGAGTAAAGCACGGCGGCTAAGCTTTGGCTCTGCAGCCATTGGTGGCGGTTGGGAGAAAGTGGGTTCGTTTTCGCGATGCTTCCTGTTTCCCCCTTGAGAATCTTCATAGGGGAAATGTGTGCTGTTGCTGAACTAACAGTGCAGCCCTATGCACTGCTTCAGTCTAAGCCTGTCGTTACTGGTATCGTACGATTAAAGAAGATCACTTAAGAACCTCCTACTTGTCAGACATTGCAGTCCACAGTTTAAGAGCAGCATTTACCGCTCGCTTTCATTCCGTGCTGCTTGGAAGGTATACCGACAAACCACCGGAACGATGTGTATGCATGTGTGCTACCGCAGTGGAAGAGCTATTTCATTGTATAATGGTTTGTCCTCTATATTCCGACCTAAGAAGCAGATTCCTGTCTGGGATTTTAAGCCAATTTTGCAACTTGCCTGACAATGAAAAGTTGGTCTTTCTCTTGTTGGATATGTTTCCCCTGGGTACTCATAAGGTAGCGGTCTTTGCGCTGGGAGCCAGAAAATTTAGATCCAAGGTTGTTTCTAGTATTGTCTGGCATAGAGCTAGAAAACTGGTCACATAGCTTGTATGATTTTAAAACTTTGTTTTATTCGTGGAAATGTTATATAGTCTTATTCTGAAGGCTTTGTCTTAGAATAGTATGTTTGAATCTTAAACCTATAGAGCGCATTTATATTTCACGTTGTTACGGCCAACGGCCATGTACCATAAACCTACTACTGCCGTTGTTACTCTGCTCAGGAGGGTTGAACTTCTTAAAGGGGGTGTGTAACCCCCACCTCACCCTGGGTCGGGGATTGCCTCCGCCCAGGGACATCCCATCTGTTATCAGTGTTGTCGAAGAGGAGTCTACACCCCAAGGAATGTGGGGGGTGTCCTTCTATTGCTTTGCTCAGTTCCAATCACCAGTTCCCGAGGTTAATAGTAATTCTACAGCCGAGTGCAGTGGTGGCGAACCTATGGCACGGGTGCCAGAGGTGGCACTCAGAGCCCACTCTGCGGGCACGTGTGCCATTGCCCCAGCCAGGCCCAAACAATCATTAAAGTGTCGAATTCTCTGCCAAATAATTTTAAGTAAATGAAAGCATTTGGGATTGCTTTCCTTACTTTGTTTGGATCCTCTTAAGTTAATGTATGAGTTGTTTTTTCTAAAGTAAAACCTCAGTATTCGGGTTAAATTGCCGTGTTGGCACTTTGCGCTAAATAAGTGGGTTTTGGGTCGCAGTTTGGGCACTCGGTCTCTAAAAGGTTCGCCATCACTGGCCTAGCAGGTTTCTTCCTTAGCACTCCCATCTCCTTCCACCCAGGTTCTGGGTCTGCTTTCCCAGCTTGGGTCCTTTCCCAGGTCCTGGAAATGCCTATCTCCAGCACTCTTCTTGCCGGGGTAATATCAGAGGCAGTTAAGCCTCCCAGGCCTGGGACGGAGGGATACTTGCATCTCTGCAGATCATAGAGAGCTCCGGCCTGGCCAGCTGCTCTCGTTCCCTGCTAGTAGCTGGTCCCAGTTGTCTGCGTCCCCCTGTCCCTGAAGGAGAAGAGTTGGATTTATACCGTACCCTTCACTCAGAGTCTCAAGAGTGGCTCACAATCTCCTTTCCCTTCCTCTCCCCACAACAGACACCCTGTGAGGTAGGTGGGGCTGAGAGAGCTCCGAGACCCCACAACAGACACCCTGTGAGGTAGGTGAGGCTGCGAGAGCTCCGAGAGAACTGCCCTTGAGAGAACAGCTCTGAGAGAACTTGTGACTGGCCGAAGGTCACCCAGCTGGCTGCATGTGAAGGAGTGGGGAAGCAAACCCAGTGCTTCAGATTAGAGTCCACTGCTCTTAACCACTACGCTACAGCTGCCCTTCAGACCCACAGGGCGTCTCCTTCTACTCAATGGAGATGTTGCCTGGCATGGTTTGTCCAGAGCCCCTGTTTCTCTCCCTTCTTCTCCAGGACTGGGGTGCCCAGGGATGTGATGGGGGCTTTTTGTGCAGTTGGCTAGTTTGTACAGGACATTTGTTTCTGTTTGTTTCTGTTGATTTTGTGAGTTTTGTGTTTTGTTTTTTTAATTATTTTTTTGCAATTGGCTTTGCATTTGTATGAGGAAAAGCACAATAGGATGACTCAAATATACTAGTCCTCTTTATGCTTGTAGCCTGTGTCGCAAAGGGACTGAGAAGCTATTTATAAATGCAAAAGTCTAGCTTGTCTCTGGACTTTAAACAGTCGTGGCTGATAGGTCAATGGAGCCTAGTTGCCAGTTTGGTGTAGTGGTTAAGTGTGCAGACTGGGAGAACCAGGTTTGATTCCCCACATCTCCACTTGCAGCTGCTGGATGACCTTGGGCAAGCCATAGTTCTGTCAGAGCTGTCCTTGAAAGAACAGTTCTGGAAAGAGCTCTCTCAGCCCCACCTACCTCACAGGGTGTCTGTGGTGGGGAGGGGAAGGGAAGGGAGTTTGTAAGCCGCTCTGAGACTCCGGGTGAAGGGCGGGGTATAAATCCAATTCTTCTTCTTCTCCATGCTCAGAGGCAGTGTATCTCTGACTGGTTGCCACTGAGGCAGCTATAATGCGAAGCTTCGATCTCTCAGGCCCTCCTTTAAGCCTTTTAGAGGTGTCCAGGGTTAGCCACTGTGGGGCTGAAACAGCACGGCTGCTCTTCCGGAAGCCTATATAGTTCACTATTAAAGAATCCCAGACCTAGCAACTGGAGGATGCCAGGTATGGAAAGAAGGGTGCTCAGAAGACTCTGGGAGGGATTCTCTTGTGTGACTTCACTACTAAACATTGTGGCACGTACTTTCCTGCTCTTAACGGGATGTTCTCTTTTTAAAAGTTGCTTCCTCTTTTTCTCTTTCCAGCTATTTACTGATAACAGTTGGGGTCGTCTACGTGAAGTCTTTCCCTCAGTCCAGGAAGGACATTTTAAAAGACTTGGTGGAAATGTGTCGCGGGGTCCAACATCCGCTGCGGGGCCTCTTTCTCCGCAACTACCTGCTTCAGTGCACACGGAATATCTTGCCTGATGACGGGGAGCAGCCAGAGTATGAGAGCCAAGGGTTTGTTCTTTTCTTTTTTAAAAAAATCCTTCCTCCAAAGCGTTCAGCTCCTTGTTCTCCCATTTTCACCCTCACAACGACCCTGTGAGGTAGGCTAGGCCGAGAAGAAGGGTGACGGATCCAGGGTCGCCCAAGTTGCTTCCGTGGCTGTGTGGGGATTCGAACCCAGACCCTTGTCCCTCTGGCTGTGTGTGAAACTTTTTTGCAAATGAACTTGTTGGGGAAAGGGGCACGGAAGCAGGAAAACGGGGAAAGAGAGCTAGATCAGAGAGTGCTCGCCCTTCCTTGCCCTGAGCTGGATGGCCCAGGCTAGCCTGATCTCAGCAGATCTTGGAAGCTAAGCAGGGTCACCCCCGGTCAGTACTTGGATGGGAGACCACCGAAGAAGTCCAGGGTCGCTATGCAGAGGCAAGCAACAGCATACCACCTCTGAACATCTGTTGCCTTGAAAACCCTATGTCAGGGGTGTCAATCATGCGGCCCGGGGGGCGGATGAGGCCCTTGGAGGGCTGTCTTTTGCTGCTTCTTCCAATTCTTCTTCTGCTGCTGCATCATTGTAGGTTTGCAGCTTACAGATACACACCTGAACAGCACACTCAAGATTGCACCAGCACAGACATTTCGATGTAATAATTCAGAGCAAGAGGTGTCAGTTATCAGACACTATTAAACAAAATATTGCAAGTGCGCTGATGTTTTAAGCATGTTTTTTATTTTAAGTTTTTTAAAAAAACCCTTTGTGTTTGTGTCCTTTATAAAGTTTATATCTCCGCTACCTGGCATTACATTTTATGGCACACACGGCCCGGCCCAACAAGGTCTCCTTTATGTCAGATCCGGCCCTCATAACAAATGAGTTCGACACCCCTGCCATATGGGGTTGCCATAAATCACTAACATATGAGAACATAAAAGAAGCCAATGTTGGATCAGGCCAGTGGCCCATCCAGTCCAACACTCTGTGTCACACAGTGGCCAAAAATACCAGGTGCCATCAGGATGGGAGACCACCAAAAGAAGTCCAGGAATGATAGGCAGGCAATGGCAAACCACCTCTGTGCGTCTCTTGCCTTGGAAACCCCACAAGGGGGTCGCCATGAGTCAGCAGCGACTTGATGACTCCTTCCTCCACCACATCGGCAGCCCTTCCCGTCTCCCTCCATGGCAGGAAACAGCTTTGTGTTTTCTTCCCAGGGAGTGGAAGAATCAAGAGTTGCACGCTTGGGTTCATCGCTGGCCCTGTGTTTGTCTGTCTGTGCCTTTTAAAGCGACCTTTTTCCCCCCTGGAAATTTTTATTTTCCATATCAAACATAAACGAGCATAATACATACACATAAAATGAGGGTTACATGGAGTGTTTCCTCTAAGCTGAGTTGGTGTGAGCTAGCTCACTGTTTTTTAGCCTCCAGCTCACAGATTTTTGTCTTAGCACAGGAAGGGATGGCTCCAGAGCAAACTAATTTATGCAGCAGCCAAATCGCTCGCTCACAACTTTCATGCCAGTAGCTCACAAAATAGAATTTTTGCTCACTAGACTCCACGGCTTAGAGGGAACATTGGTTACATGTCAATGTTCCCTCTAAGCTGTGGAGTCTTGTGAGCAAAAATTCTACTTGGTGAGCGACTGGCATTAAAGTCGTGAGCGAGCGGTTTGACTACTTGCAATAAATTATTTTGCTCTGGAGCTGTCCTTCCTGAGCCAAGACAAAAATGTGCGAACCAGAGGCTAAAAAACTGTGAGCTAGCTCACCCTAACTCAGCTTAGAGGGAACACTGGTGCACATCTATATTATCAAGTTGTCACCTCCTGCAATGTTTACTGCAATTATTATCACCAAATAGTTTTGCATAAATATTTTGCACATTAATAAGAAAACGGAATCTATGTTTTCTCCTAAAATGATCGTGTATCTATATTGTTCATTTCTGATAGTCTTCCAACCATTTATAAAATCTTGATCATGTATTATAAAATCTTCCTTCTTGTCCTCTCAAAGTTAAAGTCAATTTGTCCATCTCAGCTGTTTCAAGAGTTGGATATACCACTTCTTCTTTAGAAGGTAGCTCGCTTTTCCTCCAATATTTAGCCTATAAAATTCGTGCAGTAGTTACTACATGAATAATGAGATAAAAATCTTGTTTTTTTACAATTTTCTGGCACTCAATAAACATAGTTCAGGAGTAAATGGTACAGTAGATTCTAACATTTTTTTTGTAAGATTTTATGGATCCAAGCCACCTTTTGATCAAAAAGCCAGTTTACAGTTCGTTTTTGTTGTTTTGCTGTCAAGTTGTAGCCGACTTACGGTGATCCCGTAGGGTTTTCAAGGCCATAATCCACAGCCCCGCCATCTTGTTCTCGTGTCCTTTTGTCCAGTTTGGTGTAGTGGTTAAGTGTGCAGACTCTAATCTGGGAGAACCAGGTTTGATTCCCCACTCCTCCACTTGCACCTGGCTGGATGACCTTGGGCAAGCCGTAATTCTGATAAGAGCTGCTCTTGAAAAAAAGAGCAGTTTCTGTCAAGAGCTCTCTCAGCCCCGCCTACCTTGCAGGGTGTCTGTTGTGGGGAGGGGAAGGGAAAGGCGTTTGTAAGCCGCTCTGAGACTCCTCTGGGTAGTGAAGGGCGGGGTATAAATCCAATCTCCTTTTCTTCTATATGGGTAAGAAACTACTGCTTTTATTCTCTTGACCCGCAGTGAAGAAACCACCGGGGACATCAGCGACTCCATGGACTTCGTGCTGCTAAACTTTGCGGAGATGAACAAGCTTTGGGTGCGAATGCAGCACCAAGGGCACAGCCGGGACCGGGAGAAGAGGGAACGGGAGAGACAGGAGCTAAGGATCCTGGTGGGAACCAATCTGGTCCGTCTCAGCCAGCTGGAGGGAGTCAACGTGGAAAGATACAAGCAGGTGAGAAGGGAGCCCCCTCCCCCCCCCCCGGCATCTTGGTACCTTTCTAATGGCTGGCTTTGCTTTAATATTAAGTACCTGTGGCTCAGAGGTTAAGATGGAGTGCTGCAGACCGGAAGGTCTGTAGCTCAGCAGTTCGAGACCCGAGTGCCGCGTGACGGAGTGAGCTCCCATCTGGTCCCAGCTCCTGCCAACCTAGCAGTTCGAAAGCAAGAAATTGCAAGTAGATAAATAGGCACCGCTTTGGTGGTAAGGTAGCAGCGTTCCATGTGCGTTGGTGTTTAATCCTGCCGGCCACATGACCGCGGAGAAGGCTTGTAACTACTGTGGAAAACAAGTAAAATGGGATTTGGCTTTCAGAACTGTTGGGTTAGGAGCTCATGGGTTCGGTATTCTGATAAAGACTTGTGAAGTCAGCTTGCATCTTTGACGGGGTAGCCAAGCAGTGACCAGTTTCTGGTGCATTCAGTGGGGAAGACAACTTCAGCGTTTAAAAGAGGGGACGCTCCTTAGAGGCCCTTGAGCTGTGGGAGGAGCCTGGTTTTCTGCATATGAAGTTATCTTATATGAATCAGACCTTTGGTCCATCCTCAGACTGGCAGCAGCTCTCCTCGGTCTGAGGCAGAGGCCTTTCACATCACCTACTGCCAGATCTTTTAACTGGACATGTGGGGGATTGAACCTGGGACCTTCTGCATGTCAACTCAAGCAGATGCTCTACCACTGAGCCATGGCCCTTCTAATGGCGTCAGGAGTGAAATGACAGACAAGCACACTAGCCAATAGAATGCTGGCTGAGCTGCCAGTCTTGTTCATCCCATCTCCTTCTTAATGGGGGTTCATTGCTTTTTTATTTTAAAAAGGGTGTCTGCTTTTATCCACTCACCTGTTAATCTGTTGCC